TTATCGACCTTTGCGTTAAACCCTCTCTGCTTAGGATGGAAGTAATGCAATCACACCTTGATGTATGTTGATGAACTCGTTAATGATGGGAAAAGAGGTGACTGTATGCTGTTTTTTTGTTCTACAATAAACACGGCTATTTATTTTTCCTCTCCAAATAAAATTATCTAATAAACAATCACTGTGACCTTGATTAGAAATATGTTGACTCTATATGTGCGGGGTGCAATTTGGCTATAGACGTCATAATATTTGGTCAAGTTTGCCTCTCAGGACATCCCTTTTTGAACAGATGGATGTCAAAGACTATTGTCCTAACTGTTCCGGTAATGGCTTTAAAAACGTTTATTTTTACTTCTACCCATATTAATGCAAGACTCAGTGTGATAATTCAGATACGTACTATTTCATCGAATACAAATCGTTACACATAAATGATTATGAAATATATTGAGTTTGGTTTATATTACATGGTTTTATCATCGCCAGTGTCGTGCAACAAGGTAGGATTGTCAGTAATAGTTCGATAAGTTTTTTTTGCTTTCACGATTGAATTAGTTAGACATGATAACATTATTATTTGTAGATAGTGTGTCTTGTGAATCTATATTGCAGTTATGTTTGTTGATAATCACAATACTTTATAATTTGATGAAATTTCCTCCAGTTATGACTTGTCAGTTCATATTCGCAAATATATGCAAAAATTATATATATAGTTTGTATTTGCAAATACATGTTATCAATAAAATTTATATTGTTGAGTATATGTAAGAGTTGTGTGTGTAACGCTCAATCTCTATTTTTCTTTGATCGTAGGAACCACTTTTTTCCTGAAGCATATAAAGTCTGGAATGTGTATATACGATGCTAATTTAACACAACCAATTAGTGAAACGCTTGATCTTCGTTATTTGGAACTTTCAGACAACTGCCTTGATCCAGCATCTCAGCTCAAATTTCTAGAGAATGGCGCCGTATTGAAATTGAATGTGCCAGGTTGTCTTGAAGAAGTAGAAAGTGCAACAGATTGTGATCTTTATATGTTAGGTATCGTCACTGATACAAGTATTATTAGTGATGGTGCTTGTGCTGACAACGAGGCTGTCGCCAAACCTCTTGGGGAGGTCTAATAACACGGTCTTACCGTCCAGTAAAAAGTAGTTCGTGTGTATTACATGGTACATCTCAAGGGCTGAAAGATACTCTTGGTATTGATCCATACCTACGATTAGCAGTTTGTAAAGATGAAGAAAACAAACGATTTCATTTTGGTACAGTAGCATGGCAAATCGGCTATTTTTATACCATAAGAATAAATTTTATACGTTAATGGCATGAAAGAGTTTCCTTTGATATCTCTTGATTGCTACTTTGATCAGTTCTTGAAACATAAAATCCAATACATTTTAGCCCATGTATCACATTTTGTATGTTTCCAATAGGGTCTGTGACATGTGCCGGACAAAAGATAACGAACGCCAACTGTAATAAAAATCAATATATGATAGTAAAGACTGCTTAATATCGTGGATTGAGCGAAGGAAGCATTTGTGGTTCGAGTTATAATTACAGTTGTAATACTAATGTTAGACGTTATCTAAAAAGACATTGTGATGGCTTGCACGAGTGTAATATAACAGTCGATAAAAATATCTTTCCTTCCAATACTTGTCCTGGTTTGGACAAGTATCTTTACTTTGAATATCAGTGTAACGACACAATGTCGTTATTCAAAGAGAATTGGGGTAAGTAATGTGTACATGAACACGTGCTATTGATTGATTTTAACTTGATGTCGACACATTTATACCTTAATATTTCTATAATCACTATCAATGCAACAATTCAGCCGCACTTCATCTGCAAATAAGAGATGAATCAAGCTATAACAATACCTGAATAGTTGAAAATAATGCGTAAGCAATGCATGTCTATCAATTAAATTTGTTGTACCTTTTTTTTAGTCACAGATGCACAGTTATCCCAGTGTACATTGCCAAACGAAGGCGTTGTGCAACTTTTTACCCAGCATGAAAATTTTTCTGTTTGTGAAGATGGTTCTTTGAATAGCCTGAAAGATAATGTTTGCCGTTGGCTTGGCTACCCCAAAGCTGACCAAAAAGAAAGATGGAAGCCGGCTATTAATATTTCAGTATTTAAAGCTGGAAATGTTAGCTGTGAAGTTAATGCAGCGACTTTAACTCAATGTACCATTACGCCAAATAATGGTTGTTCCATATATTCATATTTGAAATGTAAGTTTTATATATAATTATGCATATTTTTCCAGGGAAAAGAATACCTATTAGTATCAGTGTAGTGACGAATAGTATCAGTGTATTACTATACATTGTAGTATCAGTTTAGTGACTGGTTCATGAAACGATCACTTTATAGCTTACACTTCCACATGTAGCCAGATCATAAACTTTGGAAAAGTTGTTCGAATTAGTAGAAAAAGCATGGATCAACCTATCGTCTGCTTTTGCTTCGTGCATGTCATTTTCCCATGGCATTTTTGCCTGTTTGTATCAAGCCTTCCAACTCAAAAACCATTAAAACATTTTCAGTAGCTATGGATGAAGAGGCATTTTGTGAAAATGATGGCATTTCAACTATTACGTACATTACCATTATGTATTGGGTTGTATAAACCCCAGCATTGTCTTAAGTTATTTAGTAGAATCGTTCAGTGAGTTAATGTTATGGTTCATAAAATAATTTTTGTATACTTCTTTCTATTATAGTAATTTTTCGTTACTCACTTGTACAAACATAAATATCCGTAATTGCAATCAAAGCTATATTATTACCTATACATCTTATCATTCCAACTGTTCAGTGTTTCTATTAAAATCTCTTCTACTTAAGGTCGTGTATGTGATGACCCTGTATTAAAAAACACAAAAAACTTCCCAGACTCCTCGTTTACTGCCTCAGCCTCAACCCAGAACCATTGTGCAAAAGCTGCAAGAATATCAAGTGGAAGTTTATGATGTGCTCCTGCTGCTGATGTCAATCATTATCTTCAACTGAATTTCCCGAGTCTTTATACAGTTAACGCTATCGCAATCTTTGGAGACAGTTCAACTTCGAACCATGTAACCGAATATCATTTGAATACAAGCATTGACAGCGTAAGCGGGAAGTTGAGAAAGGTAACACTAGAAATTTTTGATTGCTTTTGTATTATCAATGAAGATGCGCACATAATAGAATTTTGGTGTAATTAGTGGTGATCAATTTATCACATAGCCCTATACATATTTTTAAGTGTCTTTGTAAGCTTCCTATTCTCTTCGCACTGAAGATGGTATAAAGTATGCCAAAACATGTTTGCCTTAACAAAAAATTTTTTCGTGTATTTTAAATGTTTTATGACAATTGTGCTACTACAAAGTTATAGGAAAATTGGTGGTAAATTTCAACTTTACTGTACAATTTGCATCAGTTATGAGTAAAGATCCTGAATTATGCGAACAGGACTTTCTCTTAAAGTAGAAAAAAAATTTCCTATACTTTGTTCATCGTTTTTAAAAAAACAGCTTAAAGAAAGTTTTAGTGTCATTAGTTTTGACAAAAATCCTCACCTTTGCTTGAAAAATATGACTGATAAAGCTTGATATATCCAGGAGTTTAAAAAAGCTGTTGCTAGGTACTTTTTACTCCAAAATGCAAATGTCTTCGTTTAAGCAAATGTTTTGTTAAACGAAGCCCTGGTTTTATCAGGGAATTTTCGATAAAGTTGATGTATTTATTGCACAAAATAAAACTTTTGTCAAATTACCTAGAATTCATTGGACATGGAAATTGCAGATTTTTCATTGGACAAGGAAGTTTCTAAAAAACGATTATACAGCCGACTGTGCTAACTGCATGTTCTGAGGTTTCTAATACACGTCTCTCTTATGAGTCTGCATTACTACATTTTCATGATCTTGGTCAACACATGAATTATTTCCTTTATAATAATTGAGAATTTGAAAGGGAACAAGAATGGTTACAGTGATGCAGCTATACAGAAATTCTCTGGAGGTATGAAAGCCAAAAGTTTGCGAATCATTCCAGTGAAGTTTGTTGGTAAACCGTGTTTACGAATTGAAGTGTGTGGTGGAGGTAAGAAGCAAAAGACACTCTTAATATACATACGTAGACAGAAAAAAAATTAATTAAAACAAATCTTTTCAAACGATTTAGAGTTTTCACACATGCATAAATAGACAAAAACAGAAAACCTATTTCGCATCAGCTCTATACGTGGTTAAAAATATTTCATTGAAAGGATGATTAACTCTGATATTTCTGTTGAGAAAGACGTTAAAATACAAAGATTGCTTTTTTTGCAACTGTTGAGATTAGTTATTATACGTTCTTCCTTTTCATGACATTTCATGGAATGAAAATGCTCAGTATTCTTTGTTTTCAACATAGATATGTATAATAAACTAGATAGTGCATTGCAGTATAGTGCCCTATCAAAAGTTGAAGCCAAAATAATGGGGTGCTTACATTGTTATCACCCGATTAGTAGGTCCCACTCGAGGAGTGAAATCCAATTTTAATATACGACATAGCTTTAATAACGACGTATTTCTGCAATTTTTGGAATTTAAGGCATGTATAAACATAGTAGATTTCATGGAATTGTTATTATGATTAATATTATGATCACTTTTTCGTATCAAGTAGGACCTTCCAATATGGTGGTCCTGGCTCATTGATATTTATATTACATGGATCGCGAGTTCCCAATAATTGGTGAGGGCAAAAATTTGAAGCCGGATGTAGACAGAAATAATTAGATGCGCCGCCATATTGAACAGTCCCACTTGTAATAATAATCTACATTAAAAAAAAACACCATAGCAATGAATTTTGGAGTGCAATGTTTTATTTTTGCCCTATTCAAGGCGTGATTGTGACTCTTATATGTATTTTTTAATTGGAAACCGTCGTGGGCATAATTTAAAAACATGAATGTTTCGCTTACCGTTTATAAGTGGGAGCTTGGGTCAATCTTCATAATTTAATGCAAAAAGATGAAGGAATTGCATTAAGAAATTCCGGTCCACGGAGCTCCTTCTGGATTCTTTTCTGGTGTTGTAGACAATGTTCTTTGATATCAAATGCTTAATTAACATCTGTTAAAAAAACTGGAAAAGCGACGGCAAATGAACGACTAGTGTTTGTGATTTTAGATTGAGAAATAACTTCTGCGGAGTTAAATCTTCTTAAATTCGTTGACATAAACATATTCATTATGTAGGATTTACAGTTTGATATTTTCATTATATGCAAGAAAAAAATGCAAAATAGCTTATAAACTAAATTAACATTATTTTGTTTCATGCCTTATCTTAAGAATGCTGCTCAAAGGTTGGTGGCACTCAGACCTGCCGTGGTGTTGATGAGTCAAAATGTTTATCAAAAGTAGTGGATCGCTTGGTAGATAAGGTAGGTTTTTAAAACCTCTGTTTTTAAGCTTAAACATTGGCATGGCTAAGCAAAATATATCCATACAGGTGCGCGACGAAAACCTTTCATCGAAAGATGTTTCAGAAATCATACGACAGACAAAAGTTGTTACGAAAGAAGGGGGACTAGTCAAACAAGACATCAGGAACATTGTGTTCATTTTAAAGAGAATACAAACAAAAAAAATGACACAAAGTGATCATGAGAACTTTATTCAATTGTCTAGTAACATTGTTGGCAGTGAGAGGAAAGAAGTATGGGGGCAAATACAGGTAATTAAAGTGAGAAAGATTAAAATTTGTATTGCTGTGTTTTCTATACACTAGTTTATATTTCCTCTTACTGTTATATGCAACAATCTTGAGTTGTTATATGGAAATGTAATGAGCACGTTGGTGAAATTAGTGTTGCAAGTTGTTATTGCAAGTTGTTGTATTACGGACTTCTCCGAATTATACACCCTTTACAGAATAAAATCCTGGATCTCCTTTATTGTAATGTACACTTAATGTACACGTAGGCTTAAATATATAGTTCATGTATATTTCATTCAAGCTAATAGCTAAGATGTTATCAGAACAAGTATTATAGATTCATTTATAATGATTGTAATGGTGTGCATCAATTAATTTTTTAATTGTCCTCTATTGAGTCCGGTATTCTTTGATTGTTCACCAGAATAGAAATGCCTTAGCGAAACAAATCATCAAAGGTGCAGATCTAGTTGCAAAAAAAATGATCGAAGAAAATGGAAAACCTGGAAAGGTGTTTGCATTCTCCAGCGACAATATTAAAATACTTTGTGTAAAGCTACCTGAAAATGAAGATATTAATCTCGTATCTGAGGGTGAAGGTGTTCAGTTTCGTGGACTAGTAACTCACGGTATAAAACAAGCTACTGTTGTCAAATATTCGTCAATTAAGGACATATTATCCTTCGAGGAATTACAAAAATCTGTGGATCACACTATACAGGCCAACAAGAATCTCACTATCCAGAGCACTATAATCTCTTTTACAACGACACCAAAATTTCTAAATGTTACTCGACATATCAAAATTGTTCTACAAAATAATCAGGTTTGTGTTTAACTAACAACTCTTAGCACCTGTATATTATTGTTGCTTTATTTTACTTTGTAAAGTCAATTATTACGTACACTCTTTTACATTGATATAGAGCAGTTTTTTAGACCCTGTATGGGAATGCGTGTTTATCGAGCCCAGTGTAAACGATAGCAAGTGGAGCCGTGAAGGATGTGAACTAAACGAAGCACAATCTTCGAAAGAAAAAGTTACTTGTGATTGTGATCATAACACAGCGTTTGCAATCTTGATGCATTTCTCAGATGTTCAGGTATTAATCCTGCAGTCCAGTTTACAGGTTTCTGTACTTAGCTGTAATAATAGTAATGTCATTCTTACATACGTGACATCAGTAAAGGTACAGCATTTTTCCTTTCTGATATAGCTTAAAACTTGCTGACAGATTTTTAGAGAGTGGAGTATTATAGAATTGCAAAGAATGCCTTTTATTCTCTTTTTTCAGTTAACAAAAAAACATCTAAAAGTTTTAGAATACATCTCAATCATTGGATGTTCAGTATCACTTTTGGCAATAATTTTTACACTCATCATGCACGTGTATTTTTGGAAACATGTAAAATCACCACGATGTATAGTTTTGATTAATCTTTGCATCGCCATTGGTTTTACCAATATCTTCTCAATAGTGGAAGGAGTTGCCAGAAGTAATCCGGTAATTATATCGAAGTAAATAGCTTTTTTAGATTTATAAAGAAGATATAACAAAAAGCAGCTGTTAAAATACAATTAGCATTACGCATTCACATAAAAAACTATGCTCTCTCAACATGACTTACACGATGAATTTGATTTTTTCCAGTGGTTCTTATGTTTTATATTCACAACTTTTGGTGTAGCCTGATTTCTTCCTCGTAAACATCATTTAGCTTATACGTGTATAAGTTTTTAAAGTGCCTTTATCATGTTTTTGAAGTCAGGTCTTTTAGATAGCTCAGATGATTTTGAACATTTTTGCAATATGTTTTGTAACTCAAAAATTTGATCATCGTGGATTTTTACTCCTTCAAATTTGATAGCTTTTTGCTTGGCCGTTATGCCAAAAAAATAGGGGGAGAGACTGGACTGACGTTAAATTGGGAACACGCGTTTAGAAATCATTACTAACAAATAGTTGTTTTGTCGCATTTTACATCGCAATTTGTTTTCATTTGTTTAAATTTGAAAAATAAGAATGTCTTCACATTCTATTGATTCTAACGATATTCAAACTGAATCCGAGACTAATTTTTTGATTGAAAATGAGATGGAAGTTAAAGATGATGCTCTGTAGTAGTAGTTGAGGATGATGCTCTGTAGTTTTAGGTGATGCTCTGATAACTGGTATCCACCAGTTACACAAGGCGAAGATGTGAGATAAGGCAATCATATCAAAAATCTGTTTATATAGGTGGTTTTCTACACGATCCTATGTAAAATATAGTGCAGCGTCCACAAAGTTAAATTTTTTTAACTATAAAATATATTGCAAAAGTGTATCAAATCGTCTAAGCTCTCTAAGTGATAAAAGATTAAGATCATGATATAAACACTTTAAAAAGAGAGTATGCAAAATGAAACCCACATGATAGTATAATTTTCTTTGCTTGACATATTAACTTTGTATAGTACATTTGACTTGCAATGTAAATTCATTTGACTAGGATTAGATACAATTGAAAACATTCGTATCTTTTACAGGATTTCTGTAAAGCAATTGCTGTTTTCTTGCATTTCTTCCTGTTGTCAGCGTTTGGCTGGATGCTGTGCGAAGGAATTCTACTTTACATCTTGCTCATTCGAATTTTTTATTGCGTTCATGGAAAGCATATCAAGATCTTCAGTTTTATTGGCTGGGGTAACATTGTAATTTGGTATTCAAATAGTGTCAAAAAATCCCTGATATAGATAAGCAATTCTTTTTAGGGATTCCGTTGATTACTGTCACCATATCACTTGCCGTTACTCAAAGCGAAGGATATGGCACCGACTATTACTGTTGGCTGAGTGCCAAAAATGAATTGAATTTGGCGTTTGTTCTACCGGCATGCCTTGTGATTTTTGTATGTTGCCATACTGCCAATGTTTTAAATCAATTTTTTACACGATGGCTACCGTAGCTGACCGGTTGTTCTAAAAATACGGGCATATGAATTACGAAGCCACTTTGTAAACTTAATAAATTTAGAAGTAAGATGATTTCCAGCTTTGTTTCGAGTGTGCTCCAAACATTGTACTGAGTTGAGACTCTATTTAGTTGGTCAAATAAGCTGCCAATCACATAGAACCGTAGGAAATTATATTTAAATGTTCGTTTATAAGTATTTGCGAGACATGAAAATATTATAATGAACGTATATTATTTTTTGTGATACAGTTCAACTATATAAAATGAAATTCTTTGCCTGCAATCTATAAAAAGGACATTTCAAAAATAAAAGTATTTATTAATTGTGATGCTAATATACAATCGTGTGCTAATTTTATGCATTTGTGCACAACTTGAAACGTCTCGTGTATTTTGCTCGTCTTTTAGTGATGAACGTACTCCAAGTCCAAATACCACCATGGCTAATGAATTTTTTTGTATGATGGCAAGTTTATCAATAAGATAAACTTGATTTATAAACCATTTTTTGTTTATTGGAGCTTCATATTGCACATTTACAAAAGCATACAATCAAACCAATCTATAATTCACTTTCAGGCCAACACAATCGTACTCATCATGGTAATCAGAAAAGTGATGAACTCACACAAAGTCAGACAACAAGAAAATATTGAGAAAGTAAAGAAAGGAGTAAGAGCTACAATTGTTCTCTTACCTATTCTTGGATTGACCTGGGTGTTTGGCTTGATAGCCATCAATGACGAGACTGTATTCTTCCGTTATCTTTTTGCCATTTTTGATTCCGCTCAAGGATTGCTTATATTCCTCTTTCACTGTGCTCTAAACAAGCAGGTGACGTAAGAGATCTTCTATATTATATTGTTGATGGGATAATGAGTTATTAACAAATGGTTTGTAATCATTTCAGATGCGAGAAGCTGTTCAAAAATGTTCACTCATTCATTTCTCTTAAATCTTAGTGGCAAGAAATCAACATACTTAGTAAATGGTGTGTTTATCAGAGAATTTCTTAATTTTTTTCCAGTATTTTAAATATGACAAAATGCTTTGTTAAGCGAAGTATTATTATAATTAATGGTATTTTGTCATCACATTTTATTTAATTATTAGAATGCGTTGAAGTTAACTTACTTACTTCAAACAAATAAAAATTGTGAAATTAACTGGTTTATTTGGTTTTCAGTTTCTTCCAGTCATAAACAAAATTTTCTTGATGAAAAGAAAGCTTATAAAATAGTTAAAAATGGTGAAAAAGGGAAAATGCAAAGTGACGTCTACTATAAAGAGGAATATTCTCTTCAATCTCAAAAAGGCGGTAATAACTATTCCTTTTTAGACGTTTTTATATCACCACATTTTAAACTAAAGCGTTTTCACTAAGAATAGATTTACTGCAAAAGAGAGCAAAGATGGCAGTGAAAAAAAGTTTGCAAGCAAGGATTTGAAGTTGAAATTTGTAAACTTCTACTTAAAAGTGGACATAAATACGTCAAATTGCTTGCAATTATCTGAATATTTTTAAGACAGTAAAAAGGTATATGCAAAGTACACTTCACAAACATTCTAAATGTAACGTGTAAAGATAATTTGCAACTTTATTTCGTGCGTTACCATTGTGCGTAAGAGAAAGTAGTTATAGTAGTAATAAAAAACTAAAACTGTTTTAAATGATCTTGCAATGAAATTTTTTAAATTTGATGATTTTAAACTGGTGTTCAACATTCACTTATTAGTACATTGTCTTATTTATTTACAAATGTTTTGCGCATTTTTTAGGATCAGTTTAAATTCTGCTACCGGGCAGTGGCTTTGTGCATTGCAGTCGTGGGATGATTGCTCAAATTTCACGGAAATGAAGGAAAGTTGAATTTTTAAAAAGTAAAAACTATCAAAAAACTGTCATACGTATTTTTAAACGATACAGGTTAAGAAATGTAGTGCCTTGTGAAAGAATATAGCTCAACACGAAGAATTAATTGTATTAATTACATTATTATTAACATAACTAAAGCTAGTGATATAATATTTCATATTATTGGGGTGTAAAAATATTCAGTTTAGGTTTAGTCATTATTTGAAAGACTTTTTGGAGATGCAACAATTCAGATTATTTACATATTTATATACATAAAATTTGATACTAAGAATAAACGCGGTAGACAAACATTGTCTAAATTAATCACAAAATTCAAAATAATCACTTACGGTCTGTCGTTTAAAAGATCCGTTACCAGTGTGTTACCAAAGCTTAGCATCATTTACAAAGCTCGGTCTGAAGTTCAGCACTATCTCTATTCACATTCAAACATTTTATAATCTTTACTGTATTTGGAAATTCTGTTCTCACTGTTAACAATTTATTAACAACAGAATTACATATGTGAGTTTTGCCTTGCTCAAAGATCGCGTGAATAGTCTTTGCAGATTTGAAAAATATTTTTGAAAAGTTTTACAAAATAAAACACAGTTTACACAGACTTCTATTACAAAAGGCTTATGTCATCACTTGTTATGTTCTTATTTTATGCAGTTTCATGTTATTAGTTGTTTTGTTCTTTTTCTTATGTCATTCATGTCTTCATTTGTCTTGTTCTTATTTTTATGTCATCCATGTCTTCAATTGTTTTGTTCTTATTCTTATGTCGTAAAGTTTTGAGCATGCGCTATAAACTACGTCACGTCTTCTCTCGGACGCTGCGGACACTGGTGCAAACGTTTTGAAAATTGAAAGTTTTCGACATTCTTAGCGATGTCGCGTGAACCAAGGTGCACGTGATTAAAATATACCAATCGCACCGAGTCACTATACTGTGGAAAACAAAATCATGGCAGACAAGTCACATGCTAGTACCATTGAGTTCTATAATAACTGGAGGGGCTAACTTTACTGGGGCGAAGATGCCAAAAAAATGGCGGCCAACGGACGTATTTCCACTGAAATGATCGCTTTGCAGAAAAATAATATTCTCGACCTCCCCCTGGTGTCTATAGTAAATTATAAAGAATTTTCAAAAACAAACACGATATCACAGAATATGGATATCGTTAGTTCCATATTCTGTGACGATATCTTTTTTGGCATTTCTTTTATAATGCCATCACTTCAATCGTTCAATTGTTGGATGTCGTAGTTTCCACAAAAAGGAACATATCGCTTCTCACAGGTGAGGTAGTTGTTTCTTTTGTTAGTCCGTCAACGATTGAAAAGCAATTATACATGCACTTGAAAAGCCATAAAATACATATTAAAGGTCGTATTTTTTAAGACTGACTTGAACGCCAAATATACTGATGTTTTCCTGTTTTTGTCTATAAAATTCTGCATACTTTTCCGTCATTTGTTAATGCATGAAATCGTAAATTTACCCATTTATTTGCAAAATAGTTTCCCTAAAGCAAAAAAGACCCTGCACACATTTTTCTCTGTGAGTAAGTATCAAAAAGAAATGATCAGCCCCAACGGTACCCATGATTTGGAGGCGAGCTTGTTATGTTCTATTTGCTGACAACATGCAGGGAAGATCAAGGAGTAAAAATGACTGGAAGATGTTATTGACCAGGCAGAGTCTTAAAAAATGACAATGCTGTAAAGATAATTGATTTATTGTCTGCCGTATCCAGAGTTATTTAATTTGATTGTGGTCAAATTCTATGGATGGAGACAATGGATTCACTAAGGATGCCTTGAATGCTTTGAAGTTAAAGTTCATGATCCAAAGAAAGATGGCAAGAAGGTTGTGTGTGTTTTGATGCTTAATGAAATGTCAATTCACAAACATGTAAAATGTAAGGCCATAAAGTTTGTGTCTATGTAAACATTTGTACTGAGATTGATGATGACTCGATGCAGATGTGAAGCTTCAAACTGTATAAGCCATTGGGTTTTATGTAACTTAATGTTTAAATCATGTCATATCTTTATCAAAATATTTTAGTCGAGTGTTGTTTGAATGTTACTAATATCTATTGCACTATACTGAAGCATTAAAGATTCAGTGATGAAACCTTTAAAGTTACTGTACTGTATATTTCTTATATATTTCTTATATTTCTTTAAGAAAAATTTGAGCTTATTTACCTATTAGAGTACAGAATGGAGATTTATCATATGCATTATTGCTGCTTTTTTAAAGAAAAGTTTTTCACTTTTCAAAGCTTTTCTACAAATTTTTTGCTTCTTATTTCTTATCATGAAATTGATGATATAGAGGTAATATAATCCAATAACTTTCTAATTTCTAAAAAGCTTTTAAGCTTCTAGCATAAAAGTACACTATAGGTATGTAATTCATTTGGTTTTATTGCCTTGCTATGACATATCTACTTGCACTTCATCATTCTTGTATGAACAAAACACCAGATGTGATTGCTCAGAGAACAAAATGCACTACTAACTGCTTATGAAATTTATTATTGAGGTGAAAAATGTGTTAATCATTCAAATTGTGTACTTATATTGCAAATATAGGAAAAACAAAACAAAGTGAAAAAGAAGGGTAGAAGTATTAAAACTACAAATGAATTATAAACACCATTGGAAGCATAAGTGTTTTGATGATTATTTGCATTTTGCCCAATTCATATATCAATACAACAAAATCAAAATGTGCTACAACTTTACAAATATTTGATGCAGTTGCACTTCAGAACATCACAAAAAGGTTACTTAAAGTAATTTCTATACAATATTGTTTGTTTTCATTTACCAAACCTATGCAGACTTGAGTCTTTTTGAAATTTCTTATGAAACTCAATTACAGAAAATCCATAAATATCCAGAGATTTAATATGTACTTTTTTAAAGAAACAAGTAAAAATCCTACAATTGTGGCGAAAAAAGCCATTGCCCATTGCATGAAAAGAAGCAAAATAGCAATGATAACAATTAAGCTAACTTCTCTCTCGTGAACCGTGGAGATGAATTATTATTATCCTTTTTTGTATAGACTAAAGAGTTTAATCGATTAAACAATATTGACGCTGTTAAGAAAACGACGCACATCTGCATTCATACATGTGCAGCCGACATATAGGTCTTTCGTCGATAGTTAGAAATGCATCCTTGTAGGAGCAGATAACTGACAACCTTTGTTGACTCGCTGTTATGAATTTAAGGTTTTTACCTTGATTTTCATCAAAAAATTGCTTGCCGAATCCCAAATACACACAATATTTTCCTCACTCTTTTCTCAGGAGGGATTGGGAAATTGTGAAATTTTCGGAAAAGCGGTCAATTTCGGTAAATCTCAGCGGCAAACGACGAAATCCGCCATTTTTTGGCATCATCAGATATCTAAGGCCGCGCTTGAGATAGCCGCTCCAGTTATTATAGAACTCAATGGCTAGTACACAATCTTTTGAACCAAAATCAGGGCATTTGTGACAACCACCTTCAGTAGAACAAATACAAATAACACATCCAACTCTAATGACGCTAGCAACACCAAATTTATCGTGCCACAACAGCATGATTTCGAAGAACAGTATGACGATGATCAATTGGACGATATTGTGTGATATTCGCCTTTACTTTTTCCATCTAGATAGATTCGCCTCACCCAAAATCGTTTTCTGTATTTCCTTCTTTCTAATCGCCGTCTTAATAATATCAGTATCAACAGTCTTCTTAAAGCTGCTATCTTTGACTGGTTTTTAAATCAGCGCGTGCAAAAAAGCTTAATGGAGATTTGTTTTTGAACGCGCGAACGAATTATGGGAAGTGCCAGTTCCGCGCGCGCGGGCAAAGCGACCTTAATGGAAATTGTCTTACGAGTTTGTCAATGACTTAGATTTGTCTAACAAGTACGCACTCATCAATTCATTCATAGTTGTTGCCTACATTTTGATGTTTGGTCATCAGTTAAAAGAACGCGTCGCTACTGTTTCTTTAATTAGTTATATGTGAGCATCTAAGCTCACATTCAGCGCAAACGGTGAGTTTTTTGCCCAGCTTGTCCAAAAATATCAAACATGCTTGATATGCGAAAAAAAGGTTGCATTAAAAGATGCTTATTAAATGATGCATGTGTTTGCTCTGGCTGACAGGCTTGCGTAAACCGAGGAGACCTTTGGGAGAACTCGAGAGCAGATCAATATAAGGCCGAGATTAAAGTTTGAGTTGTGTATAGCTTTGCAGTGTATCTTTCATATATTCTGTTTGGATTGTATGTTGTAAAGTTTCTTCTGCCGAAAATTAACAAAATTTATAAAGTACGATGTCAAAAAAGAGTAGGAACACAGTTTCTGAGAACTTGAATAAAGCAGATAAATGCAACAGCTGAAACGTGCGTGTGACATTGCGTGGGCAAGATGTATTTAGTATTGCATAGGCAAGGATATTGGTCCATAGCGTAGCTATCAGAGCCCTCTATTCGTAATTCGTAAACAAAGCAATGCAATGTTTTGTGCATTGCTTTGTTTAATGTCTGTCAATTTGTTTTCACTTGTCTTACTTATGTGTCATTCATGTATTTACTTGTCTTGTACTTAATTTTATGTCATTCATGCCTTCAATTCTCTTGTTTTTAGTATTATATCAATTATGTCTTGAGAAGATAACATTGGTTTTCGTCTGAATAATTCTTGACATCATGCTTTGTCTTGTTATTCTTATGTCATTTGTAATCACTTGTCTTATGTTATTTATTTCTTATTTGTTTTATAAAACCTTAAACTTTGAAATTGACTTTTTTTTACGTTCCACTGGTGATAAGTCTTTTTGTCCTAAATTTTTTACTTTAATAACGGCGCCTCTATGTTTTTCCACTGTTTTAGACATCCCAGCCACGACAAAATGGTACATCATTTTGGTTGCCGTCATTTCAGGAATCATTCTCATCATTGTTTTCTGTTCAATTATTCTAATTTATCGTCGACGTTTTGTATTGAACAACAAAAATAAACAAAATGATCAACTTCAGTCCCCTGGTATAGAGAGCACAGACGTAAACAATGGAGCCTATGAAGAAATAAAGTTATCTGACATATCTAAAAGAAACGATAATGAGGCTTTGACAGACCGTGATGACTTAAATTATCAAATACTAGACGTATCAAAAATGGACAGGGAAGAAAATTATCAGTCTTTAATGGATATGCCTTACGTCAATATCAAAGATAAAACGTATCAAGACTGAAGAAAGTTCACATATGTACCATTTCTCATGTAATGAATGAAAAATAATAAAAGTGAACTTTTATATGGCATGTAACTTATGTTAAGTGTCAAAGACATGTATCACCAGCTTTAAATTAGCGAAGGTCTCATGTTTCCACTGTTCTAAAAAGCCTAGCTAGCATTTACAAAAATGGTACGTTCTTTTCGCTATGCTAACTGCACAAATTGCTCTCTTTTTTTTAATCTCTTCACTATTTATAGAAGCGATAGAGTTAATGAACAATCAGCTTTGTCAAACATGAATTAAGAAATGATAATGAGTCATTAACAGTATTTGCTAATCCAAGGTATTAAGAAATGAATAGAGAAGATGATTATCAATCTTTAATGGAGGATGATAACGATTTGTCTTATGTAAGTGTGAAAAAAATTGATGACAATAAATGGTGAAATGCATTAGATAGATACACCATCAACAATGAAATGAGATGAGGAAGGAAAGTAAAATTACAAAGAATGGATTAAAGTGCTACTGAAGTGAAATTTTCATATTTCGTTTTTCGATACAAACGTTTTCTCTGTATTTTACTGATCATTTTGAGCTATCGCCCACTGAATATAGTCGATGGGAACGCATGGAACTTTGCGTTCAAACATGGCATATTTGCTTGTTTTGATGCGAATTTGACTTTGAGTGCGTGACGTCATTTAAAGGACGGAAGTTCAATTTTAAAGCTCTTAGTATATAAAAATTATATACGAACAAGCATATTTCCAACTGGAATTTTACATATTTTATAACTTCTCTTCGCAAAAATTGCGTATATTTAGTGACAAATGAGCAACACGCATAGGTAAGCAACATTTACAATCGATTAGAGTTTTATAAACTTCTTGAATTAACTTATATTTCTCAATAAACTGGGTGCCGCATCCTTCACGAAGTCTGCGGTTTTAACACACACGCAATGTTATCAGAAACTAACTGTACCGCGCTTATTTCCAATCATCCAATGTATACTACTTTTATAAACTTCTGGATTAGACTTATCATTCTTATCATATGGGTGTCGCATCCTTGACGTAGTCTGTGGTTTTAAAACCCATGCAATATTATCACAACGCACATAATATAAGGAGAATAATTTTTTATTAAGTTAGTCAAACGTAACGATACACCGCAAGTTAAAATATGGCGAGTAGGCAAAATTCTGCAAAAAATCGTCAAGGAGGACAATATTGTGTTGTTGGTTGGCCCAACGGAAAAAGTTGTACAAACAGTCAACACACAGAGGGTGTCTCAGTACATCGTTTCCCCATGAATGACAAGGAGAGGCTGAGTAAATGGACAAAATTTGTTAGGAGACATAGGCCAAAATTCGTTCCTCAGCAGTACTCTGTGCTATGTTCAATGCGTTTCGCAGATTATGCATTCACCGTGAACGCAACAGTTGCAAAATCGCTAAACATGAGACGACAATTGCGCTCTGATGCTGTTCCAACCATAGACTCTGTAAAAGGCATTTCAATCCAAGGTGATAAGAGCAATCGCGACCGCAGAGTTGTAAGTACAAAATTATACAAGTTAAATTACACTAGTTTGTATGCACAACCTGGAAATGCATGTAAATGTGTCTTATTATCTTCAACAGGTGTTGCGTGAAGTAACACGAAGTGTAAAAGATGTTGAACCCGCTGTTAAACATACTGATGATGATGGGAATTCTGACGAGTGTAACACGACAGAAAGCGTTGATAGTGAACCAGTTAGAGAGGATTCACCAGAACCGCTGCCAAAACAAGAGCAAGTTGAAATGTGCAGTAGATGTGACATACTTGCCAAAAAAGTTACAAAACTACAAAAGAAACTCAGTTGGTTAAAAAAATCAAAAAAAAGGCTGAGCGACAGTTTAATCATGGTACGTATTTACTTCTTGAAATAGGTGGTAAATAAATGTATTGAGAATAAGGTGCTTTGTATAAAATTTTTTTTTTTTTGAAATAACAGGTTCTTTACGAAATAGTCAGAACTTGACCCGTTGGTGTAAATACATTTTATACAACGTTTGTCATCGACCATTGGAAATTTACGCACTGTTACCTATTCTACGTTTTAGGAAAGTGAAGTAATGAGCCAAATGAATTTTTTAATATCGGCGATGTCCAGGATATTATTGGTGATCCTGACATTACAGCTATGGATTGGCAATATGAAGACGAACCGTTTTCATCACAAGATGAAGCTGAAGATTCCCAGTCGAAAAACACTGTTAGGTGAGTTACAGCATAAATGTCGTAGAAAACGAAGTTCAACTTGTATGAATATGTGCTTAATTCTGTTTAGCATGGAACCTGGTACCCTGCCATGTGACGAACCCAAATTCATTGTCTTTTATGGCATGCTCATATCACTGTTCAGCATGTTTTGCTTCAATTGCAAAAGTCCAAATCCTCAGGTGGAAATCAAAAAGAAAGGTTCAATGGCTGTTGTAACTCAATGTTGTTCTATTTGTGGACCAACTAGAAATTTTCAATGGAACAGTCAGCCATATGTATTGGGAAGGCACGGCTGGAAATCTCATGACAAGTTTTGCCATTCTGATGTCAGGTGTCAGCATAAGTAAAGTGTTTTTACTATTCAAGCATTTGGGCCTTTGTTCAATCACCAGCAGAGCATATTATTTACATCAAAACAAGTTCCTGGTCCCCTCAGTGTTATTGCACTGGGAGAAGTATCAAAAAGCCCTGATTGAAAATGTGAAAAATATAGAAAATGCTACTTGGTCTGGTGATGGCAGATTTGATTCGATGGGCCACAGTGCTAAGTACTGTTCTTACTCCATGTTTTGTAACAGTATTTCCAAAATAGTTCATTTTGACATCAGACAGGTAGTCATAATATTTTTTTCAACTAATAAACAAATATTTTCATGTACATTTAAGATAATCAGTTCATTTTACTTGAACAAGACCTCAAAATAATATTATAGTTTTACATAAACTTCATTACCTTTCGTATAGTCAAATCAGTCTGGTAGTAGCAATGCCATGGAGTTGGATGGAGCTCAAAGATGCTTCAAGTTTCTTCAAGATAGTGGACTACAAATTCCAATATTTATTAGCGATCGTCACAAAGGGATTGCAAAGTGGATTCGAACATCTGAGAAGGAAACCCAGCACTTCAATGATTTGTGGCATGTTTGCAAAGGACTTTCCAAAACAATATTAAAGGCTAGTAAAGAAAAAGGCTGTGAGTTGCTGGTGTTTTGGATTAAAGGTATCCGCAACCACTTATATTGGTCGGCTATGTCTACTAAGATGGGATATGGAGATATGATTGTGGCAAAATGGAAATCCATTGCTAGGCACATTACAAACAAGCATGAAAACCATCCAGATTAGTTGTTTCCTAAATGTGCTCATGGAGAGCTAGATGAACGTCTATGGCTTCAAGTTGGTATGAGCATGCACACATTTAGGGGGTGTTTACATGAATCCGGAATGACTTTTAATCCCGATCGAAACGTGATGTCAATCCGTGTTTACATGGGAAATCAACACAAGGATTGACATTTTGCGGGAATTTTGAAATTTGAAGATGGAGAACAAAAACATTATAGCAACCCTTTTTTTTTCTGTTGTTCCTGCGTTAATACAGCTTAACACTTGCATGAAACTAATTGTTGTTTTTCTTCGCACTTATTTTAACCCATTTAGCCTCTTTATTTGCTTACGAGCTTCAATTTGCCAGAAGGCAATACCCATGGCACATGCGTGCTTCGTCATTAATCACAATATCATTCCAGAATGAAACTCAATTCGCGTTTACATGAGATTTAAAGTAAATTTCGATCCGGAATGAAATTAGGAATGAACTCGATCCGGATCGAGTTGTGACTCATTCCGGACTTATGTAAACATACAATAGAATTTCTTTTAAAGTGGAATGAGTTCGTTCCGGATCGAAAGTCATTCCGGATTCATGTAAACACCCCCTTAGGCAGCAAGACAGAATTGAGATTGTTAAAATGTCTAAAATGTTATTTACCACTTTTCAGATGGGATTGTATTCTTTTTAAGGAACTAAATCATATCAGCGACTTTCCTCCATGCTGTTGAAAAAATCTGTTCTCAAAGATGTTAAAAAACTATCTTCAGAAGCACAAACTAGTTGTCTCGAAGGTTTTCATTCAACATTAAATGGTTGGCATCCAAAGATGACCCACTTTTCTTGGCTTGGTACATATTGCAGGTAACTTGTAATCACCGTTCTCTATCTGCCAAGGCTTTTTTACTTGTTCCTAGTCAAGAAAAAAAATTACATAGTAAATGGTTTGTTCTGTTTAGGCACGTACTGGCAGTACTTCATTTCAATGAAAACCTTCACAGACAGCCAAAAAAAAAAAATGGAACACCATATTATTCTGTGACATACCCAAAATTTAAATCAGGGATGAAGTAGTAAGAACTGTTTCTTCAGCACCATCATATTGTAAGTTTAGCATGTATGCATTGGTACTCTTGACTTACACATCTAACCACTTGTCATTTTTCCAGACTATGTTAATGAAATCAAAAATGTCATGGTTCTTAGTTGTGAGGAATCCATGGACAACATATTTAGGAAGTATAAGGAAAAAGTCCCAGAAGCCTTAAACAAAACGTTCTCGGATCGAATTTCCAAAATTGAGGCAATCCAATGGCATTTGGATAGGAAACAACTATCTTCAACACCATTGTTTCCCACATGTAAGTTGTTCATGCTACCATGTATAATAGGTATGGCCAGTGCATTCTAAAAGTAAACACATTAAATTGTTATTTATAGATCAACAGCAAGATGTACTGCAAGCAAAAGGTTTAGACAAAGAAAAACAAGCTGCTTCAACAGGTCCTTCAGATCCAAAAAGCGCTTATGCAAAAATTGTGGACAGCCAATGAAAGGACATCAAAAGTCATTGTCCACAAGAATTACTTGACAAATATTCTTAGCAGGCCAACTTTAAAGTTAGTTATAAAATAATATACTATGCTACAAAAATGTTTCCTACTTCTATCAGTTTCTTTCCTGTGCTGACTTGTAGCCAGCATGTTCTTGGCCTAGGGATTTCGTAATGGAAATCGTTTTGGATGTCTGTGTAGATACATGCAGGTAATGGTCTAGAATTTTCCCAACCAAGGCATCCACACAGCCATCGAATGACCCAACGGTATGCAACTGCTCTCAAGTATCTATGAGAAATTCAAAATAGTAATTTCTATTTGATTATTTATTTTGACTTCACACAACAAAATTGTGAAGCATCACAGCACAATAATGAACCACATAAAGGTAAAAGTAGAGATACATGGCAAGATATTAATCATTTGTTACAAAACAAAATTAGAAATCAAAATGTACTAACTCATTTTCATGTATTCTACGACGCTTGTATGACCTTCCATCTTGGTCTCTTAGAAGTGAGCCAACATTCTTCAAGACTGTAGCATGTGTCATAATCGTGTACTCTTCGTGAAGAGTAACACAGCTAATTTTTTCAATGCTACCATCGAATACCAGTTTATGTAAAGTAGGCCCAACCTCTTGACAACAACGGTATTCAATGGCATCTGTCAGCAGTTGAGTACGACACAAGCTACATGCACACCTATAAAAAAGTGGTTTGTTATCATATTTATGCACCACGACATAAGGGACAAAATACCATGTTTAATTCATGGTTTAATTTCTTCTAGAGTTCTAATAACATTTATCAACTTACCACTTATCTAACTGAACGGTTCCTTCGAACCTCGCTTCCAATGTTCGAGGTTCTAAGCCATCTGCGTCTTCTTCGACCGACACTAAATTCTCTCCGACTCTGTTCGCAAGAGGTTCATTTTCGTAAGGATTTACCACTGAATTAGCCACAATTGTATCCTCATCGCCGGAATTCGAAAGTAAATTTTCATTTGCCATATCTGAGTTTTCAGTATCCGAACTGCGTTCGCTTTCACTGCTTGAAGAACTCATATTTTATTGTGTATATGTGTTAAAAATCTAACAAAATACTAGTAAATCAATGCTCATACTTCGACTTCCGTCCTTTTAATTACGTCACATCCGTATAATATTTCAGTAGTAAAAATTCGCACGCGTAACCCAACTTTGAGCAAAAATTTATTGATGATCCCGTGCTTCAATATGCATAAAAATTATACCAAAGTGATCAGGAAAGATAGAACTATTTGATTATAGAAAAAAATCGATACCCAAAATTTCACTTCAGTAGCACTTTAAATAAGAAAGCTTTGTCTCAGTTTAAATAATGCTTTATGATAAACCTTTTCTTAATTCGCTTACGAAGAAAATTGTAAAAATGCCTAAATTAAAATGATCCTTTATCGTTGTATTGTATTTTGAAAATATGCAACAAAGTTGATGTCTTGAGGTCAAGAGCATTATGAGGTCAAGAGCATTAGGGAAATACGTCAGCAAACGTCTATTTGATAACAAAAGATCTCGAGGCAACCATGTTATTACATATGCTGCTAATGACTTAATGTGGGCAATGACCATATACAGTCTCTGATCAATAACAATTCATATCGGCGGTCCATTACAGCTAATTTTACAAACAAATCTAAACAAGTTTCGAAAAGCGAAAAGCAAAAAATTTGAAAACAAAAAGAAAACAGGAGTGAATGCCAACTTTTACAAAACAGCGAGGACAAAAAAGTAAAGAAAGCCTCGCTTAAGTTCAAATAATCCTGTATAATAAACCTTTTATTAACTTCGTTTATTCGCTCTTCGAGCCTGCGAGGTCTGCATATAAAGAATTAAATGATCCGATATTTATCTTAAAAGACTTCCCAATTACTAAAGGCCTTATATTGCAACTAATTTTAATGTGGTATTTCGAAATTTATGTATTTCTACATGTTCTCTCTCCACCTCTCTCCACAATACTTAAGAGCTAATTAAGAAATATATTGCAAAAAAATTTGTAAAAATTGCCTAAATTAAAATCATCCTATCAAGTTTTAATATAGTTTGATATAATATCTCACAAAGTGGCCGTCCAATGCATAAACTAAAAGTTTGTAATTTAAAAAATTATAATTAATATCGAAATGATGTTTTTTGATTGTTTATGCTGAGCCCAATCGATTGAACACTATTTAATAATTAAGTCAGTATTGCTTGAAGCATTGTTTTTCTTGTCATTTTTCACTTTATTTGCGCCGCTGTCGTATTGTGTCCATCGTTAAAACAAACACCTGAAGGCAATAAAGGTACAGCTAGTATTACGTAGTAAAAATTTACTGTATAGTTCAGTCCTACACAATTTGTTGTATTTAGGGCTTGAAATTTTGTTAATGACTGTCAGCAAAATTGAATTTACTGTTGGTAAAGTTGATAGTCAAAAACTTAAAATGCGTTATGGGAACAATACAATATTCTTCGTCATTGAGCACTTAAAGCCATTAACCGGTTTTGCCATGTTTGCCCACTTTAGATGCATTATTTGTGCTTCGTTGCTTCGTAGCTATAAACAGAGGTAATTCTTACAATGTCAAAAACTTTATCTATTATAACATTGCTTCGTCAACCAACCACAGCATCCAAATTTCCTAACATATAAAGTATTATTGTTGATTTGTAAAGGATAGGATTTGACGCAAAATAAATTCTATAAAATGTTGACTAACTGGGGCAGATGGCATGAGTGTTTGTATATACTCAAAACGCCACTGCACACTCTAGGAAACAGCCTTGGCCAGCAGTTGCAAGTAAAACGTTGCGAAAGCCACAACTCTTTTGTTCGTCTGACTTGTATGTATCTTAATTTTTCTCTGTTTGTTTAAGGTGTATTTCTTCAGTCGCTTTATTGTGTCCATTTTTCAATTAGTAAAAGAACAAAGGTAAGTTGTGATGTAGTTGATAGTAAAACGGAAGATTCTATATCTTCGATGCTCTGTTAACATTTAATATTGCAAAATTTTTCTTTGACTTAGTTTGGCAAATAAGTGTTAATACGAAAACCGCACAAATTCCGCCCCCCGATGATTTGATTATTATTGTAAATGAAGGGATTTTTTCATTTACCACAATATCTCCATGCTTGATGTAGGATTGGGGACAGGTTTCACATTAATATTTTGATTCGTATATTTATATATTATCACATTTTTCGCTCAAATCTCTCAACTACATCAAAAACAAACCCTATTCCACTGTTCTGTAAATATATTCGTTCTTCAGCGGAACCTGCAAAAAATTAAAAAGAAATCCGCTTGAGATTTTCAATTCTTATGGAGTATTCATTGTCAGTTAGTACTCCACGAATAACTGCAAACAAAGGATGAACGACAAGCTTCGAAAAATGAAAAAGTTGCAAAATATTTCAAAGATTTTCTGTGATATTTCTGTAAATTTTTATAAAAGAATTTGAGCAATCTCAAGATAACGGTGAAACCCAAAACTACTTAGCTGCCCTTAGTATCGACGTTCGTTTATTTTGTAAGGTCTTCCTCCTCAATAGAGAAAAAGATCCGCGGTGCATGTAATGTAAATATCTAACACCCTTTCAAAATTATTTTTTGGTCATTATCTTTTGAAATTTTTAATTTATTTGGTTAACTTTTCAACTGTAACTTTTTGAATTTGTCAACTGAGCAATTTAGCTGTTTTATAGCTGCTAATGTGTTGAATTCGATGAACTAAAAATTCGAATGAAAATACAATACGGGTATAGCATTAGAGACAATACGGGTATAACTATACAGCTATAGAGGCTAGGTTACAAGAAATTGTAAAGTACTTTATGATTTCATAGGTTTTCTACATGTATCATGACATAACAGGAAATTGAAATGAAATAGCTAATGGGAAGCTCTGCATGCAAAATTGTTATTTTCATATTCAGATAAAGAATTTTAACATCGTCCTGGGTTTTAATCTATTGTATCTAAAATAAATTATTTCCTTTGATTTTAATTTGATCTCGCTTTCTTCGCTTCCTTAGCGCTATCCACTAAAAGGCATTTTTTCATCGTTCACTAAATATCTTGAAACACAAAAAGTTGAAATTTATATTGAACCGAGTAAGACGAATAAAGCATAAATTGAAAGATAACCAAGTTTCATTATTTTAAAAAAATTATAACCACGTACATATATAATAGCTACAGTGGCTACCATTAAGAGAGTCATCATGCAGCCATATGAGACTAACTCGATCTATTTCTGAACAGTTTTTCTCGCTGCACAATTTTGCTGATATGACTTTTTTAGATATTGCTCACATATTGCTCAAAAATACGTTTTGATCGTGATCTGCTTGCATCAAAGATGTAATTGTGACGTAGACATTGTTGATCTATATGTAAATTTAAAGTCTTCGGTGATAACGTACATACATCCAACAAACAATTATACTTTAGAGCTTTACTGTATATCCTTGGATCTATGCAATGATGAGTTTAATGATATGGTGGTTATTTTGGCTGTCATTCCGTCAAGGATTCACAATGAAAATGGGTTGGAATGAAGAACTTGAGTTTTGTGAGGAAGAATGGAAGAAATTTGTGGCGGACAAAATTGAAATCGATTCGAAATGCAACAATACTCGTACACGTTGTTGTGTTGAGGAGAAGAAATATCTTTTGGAGCGATTTAAAATGTTTAGTGAAATATGTCCTCTTGAAGGTAATGTAAACAGCAGTTCAGTTTACAATAAGTACAGAACATCAACTAGAAATGTACTTGGTAAACAATCACAGCACTTATATTACTGAGGTACTGTTTAATTTAAATAACGGTAATTGAAACGGTGTTCTTAGAAATTGCAATAAAGTAAGGTACCTAAAGTAAATGGTTTGAGCCCGTAAGGTACATGTTAAAGTAGTCAACATTGACGCAGCATAATCTTTCGTTCATTGTTCATCTGTCTAGTTACAAAAGCAAAGTATTATGAGAGTAGAGTCAAAAATAGTAATATATGCAATTATATGATGCAGTCTGTATAGTTATTGTCTATTTGGGTTTAAGGAAGACTTTCGATTCAATATGAATAGTTTGCAACATTTTGTGGCGAAATCAGTGTCACTTTCTACTTGTTCTTTTTCTCCTGACAACCAGTTAAAGATAACTTTATTTATTTAGGGACATGTGGATGCAGCCCGATTATTTTGAACTTTACTGTTGGGTCATATGTCATAACGAAATCTCATCGTCACTATCGTTTTTTACGTTTGTATCGTTATATGATACAACCAAAAGACTTTACATGTTCACATAAGTACATAAATGAAAGAACAGAAAAATCAAGACGCTACCACATTGTTAGATTTTGGGTCGGACAACAGAAAATCCCTTACAAGTATGTTTTATACGGTGGAAAAAGTCACACTTGTTATGTTGTCTTCAACGTGAAAATAAAACCAGGTACATGCAAGGGCAGTTTATTTTAGTTTCTCCTGTGTCAGTTTAATTTATAGTGCACCAATGTGATTATAGTGCTATATATTCAACTTTGCTCAAATCCATACGGCACTTTGACCTATATTCAATTCATCATGTACGTATACTCTTAAGTGAATTTCTTTGCAGTTGCAAAACTAATAGAATACACCCCGGAACAGCCAAACATGTTTAATTCGTCATACATATACTATAATGTAAACCTGTAAAAGAGTAAAAGCTCAATTCAGGTATTTTTATTATTAAGAGCACTATTTCACAGCCCAACTTAAATGAACTCCACCAGAAAAGAGTGTACAGCTTACAAAGTTCACAATTCAGTTTTGCATTGAATTATATATTTCTTGTCTTCATGTTTCTATAATACTGACCTTAATCATCAACTTTTTCTTGGCACATATTTGTATTCAGTGTTCAGATAAACTTCATTTTCATCAAAAACGAAAGATATGGGAGTTTATACAGTTTAAGCTTCACAGATGAGTTGGTGAAGTTGAAAAACCAGCTTTCGGCCAACAATCTTAAAAAATTTTAAAAGAAACAGATTCCATATTTTGCCTGATAAATCACTAAAATTGTGTAAGCAAACAATAACTCTCCTCCTTCCGTAGGAACAGACCGTGCGCCGTAAAAGCTGTATTAATGGATTTTTTACACTTTTCAACTTGTTCGTAAAATTTTTCTTTCTCCATGCCAATGAACTAAAATACATGGAACGCTACATCAAGGAAATAATTGAAGCCATATTTTACGCCACACACGCGGGATTTTACCCAAGACACGCGCGTTTAGTGTTTCGAGATTCTTTCGCGGAGTAATAGTTAATTGACTACACACTCGTGTCGGGGGTAAAGTCTCGCGTGTCTGGGGTAAAATCGCAGCTTCAAAAAATTATTAGGGTTTTGTATTACAGGTAGCGTTTCATGTATTTCAGCTCAATGCTCCATGCTGGATGCCTTAAAGTCTTGCATACGCCATTATTTTTAAAATGACTCTCAACAGCAATTGGTTTATTTAATTCTTTAGAAAGGTTGAATTTCAAGATGACTTTTTTTGTAGTGTTTTTTCCTATGTTGATAGAATTCAGTATGCTAAATTATTTTTGATAAAGTCCTATTTTTCTTATATACATACATTTTTCAGGGTGCGATATTTTTAATCATTTTTATCATGTATCATTGACTTTTTCAGATACGACTGGATTTTTCATGAAACATGTTCTGTCAGGATTGTGTGTTCATAATTTTCAAGTATTTTCCTTGTACCTTTCATGGAGATGTTTTGACGTGACAGCTAATTTTAAATTTTTACCTTCTGGCTCAATCTTGAACCTGAATTCTAATCGTTGTCCAGAGAGATTAGGCAACGGAATTCGTTTGGGGTTATCTTATAGTGAGTGCGGAGCCATAAATGCCATGACCCAAACATTTTGGGGTGGTCTATTCTTTTCACGCTATAATAAATGTATGGCAGGACCTCGCGCCATGAGACTTGTCAGTTGTAAAAATGGAGAAGATCAGCGATTTAATTTTGGCAAGTGAGAATATTCATCCAGTTAGCGTATATATACTTAAAATTTGATTAAAAGCCACTGCTAAGCCACAGATATAGGAATGGCGCCAGTTAAGTCACTGCCATCACACACTTCATTTTTATCAAATATACTTTTACTTTTCAGGAATTTAAAGATAAGCTTGTATAGATTTTAATTTACTTATTTTTTGTATGTCTTTAATAGGCTCAGTAACATGTGCTGGAAAAAATATATCGGACGTTAGTTGTTCTAATAATCAATATATGGTGATAAAAGTTGCAGAATATCGTGGATTGCGAAAAGGAAGCATTTGTGGTTTAAGTTTTGATTACAATTGTAGGGTCGATGTAACCTGTTACCTTAAAAATTACTGTGATGGTGAAAGAAATTGTAATATAACGGTTGATGATAATCATTTTCCTTCAAATATTAGTCCTGGCTTGGAAAAATATCTTTACTTTGAATATCAATGTAACTACACAAGTATGCCATACAGATTATATTTTGCTGATGATTTAAGTGCTTTGGGACTTGTTTTGACCTTAATGCGCATTGGCATTGTGTTCATATTATACTATATACGTTATCAATTAAGAAATATTGAAACAAATTTGAATTTTCGAAACTTGTGTCCTCACCAGGCGCGGTTTGTTTATGCTTTTTCATCTCGTTTGGTTTAATTTAGTGTCTTTATATAATATGACATTTAAACTTGTGTCCTCAATATTTGCTTCAGTTTAAATGTTTGGTCAATTTTGTGTTTTTAGTTTGTTAATGCAAACTTTTTTCAAGGAAGCATCTCTTTTTCCAGTCACTTTGATTTATCAAATTTGTTTCTTTTTTTAAAACTTTTGGCCATTCTATGTAGGCCAAAAGTGACATTTACAATTGAATTTGTATTCATATTTTCATGAATTCACACTACAGAATTTTCATATACACTGCATATATATTCAAATATATATATATTACAATTCATATGAGTTGATATTTTTATCATATTTTTGAAGTTTTTAATATTTTTTAAAATTGAATTATTTTGATGTGACAATTAAATTTTAAATTTTTACAATCTGGCTCAATCATGAAGCTAATTACGAAGAATTGTATTGTGAGACTATTCAACGGAATTCGTTTGGGGTTATTTTATAGAAATTTTAATGGAGAATGCGGAGCCATCAATGCCATATCCCAAACATTTTGGGATGGTCTTTTCTTTTCACGCTATCATAATTGTATAGAAGGACATCCCTTGTTAAAACTTGTCAGTTGTAAAAATGAAGAAAATCAGCGATTCAATTTTGGCAAATGAGAATATTCATTCAGTTAGCGTATATATACTTAGACTCTGATTAAAAGCCACTGCAAGGCCACAGATATAAGAAAGGCGCCAGTAAAGTCACTGCCATAACACTTTTCATTTTTATCAAATCACTTTATTTTGCAGGAATGAACAAATACGTTTGTATGGTCTTTTTGTGTGTTTTGTATAGGATCAGTGACATGTGCTGGACAAAATATAACAAACGTTGGATGTCCTAATAATCAATATATGGTGATAAAAGTTGCGAAATATCGTGGATTGAGAAAAGGAAGCATTTGTGGCTCCAGTTATGACCATAATTGTAGTGTTGATGTAACATGTGACCTTAAAAATTACTGTGATGGTGAAAGAAATTGTAATATAACTGTTGATGATAATCACTTTCCTTCAAGTATTTGTCCTGGTTTGGTGAAATATCTTTACTTTGAATATCAATGTAACTACACAAGAATGCCATACAAAGAAATTTGCAATCGTAAGTATTATACAGGCAAATTATATTTTGCTTTTGATATAAGTGCTTCTGGACAAGTTTTGACTTTAATGCGCAATGATATGGTGTTCATTTTTATAATATGTACGTTATCAATTTAGAAAAATTGAAACAAATTTGAATTTTCGTCGGGTGTCTTCACCAGGCGTGGTTTGTTTATGCTGTTTTATCTCGTATGGTTTAATTTAGTGTCTTTATATAATGTGACATTTAAACTTGTGTCCTCAATATTTTGCTTCAGTTTAAAGGTTTGGTCAATTTAAAATCGTGGCCAGAGATTTGCCAGGCGGAAAGCGAATTTTCAATATGAACATAATAGCCCAACATAATACTTTTAAAGTTAATAAAATAGAGAAGGATTTATTAATAACGTTTCGTCTTTAACTTAAGACATCTTCAGAATAATTGAGTTAATTAACTCAATTAATCTGAAGATGTCTTAAGTTAAAGACGAAAGATGTCTTAAGTTAAAGACGAAACGTTATTAATAAATCCTTCTCTATTTTATTATTGATCTTTTAAAAGTATTTGGTCAATTTTGTGTTTTAGTTTGTCAATGCAAACTTTGTTCAAGGAAACATCACTTATTCCAGTCACTTTGATTTACCAAATCTATTTCTTTTTTAAGATATTTTGGTGATTCTATGTAGGCCAAAAGGGACATTTACAATTGGATTTGTATTCGTATTTTCATGAATTCCCACCACAGAATTTTCATATATACTGCATATATATACAAAGACATATTCATTACAATTCATATGAATTGGGAAGCTAAACGCACCACTCACCTACAAAAGAAGAGTATTTGTTATGGTTTCATTAATGATTCAAATACTCACTTGGACACATTTTGTTGTGATTCGTGTTTACAACACATAAGTAAAGTTCTCTGTTCAACTTATTTGTCTGCAGTTCATTGTCGACTTAAAAATTAAAATCAAAACAGTGCATACCAACTTTAACTGTAAATCTATAAGATACTGTGTCCATCATAATGCGTAAAAGATTTCTGGTTAAGTGCTTTCTGACGATAATTTTTTTTTAAGTTATTTTCACCTACTGTGTTTTTCTGATATTCTAACTCCGTGTATAAATTTTATTCATTGACGGGATTTGACATATTTATGTTCATAAAACCATTTCTTATAAACACAGATTTCATTTTCAGATATGCGCCATGATCATATTTAAAGGAAAAAATAATTTTGATTTGTGTAGTTATGGATGTACGCCTGTCTCAATCGAATCTTCCCAATGAAGGTGTCGTGAATGTTATTACCAAGTTTCGAAACTTCACCATATGCAACAACAGTCTTTTGCATAAAATGAAGACGATTATCTGTAAACATCTTGGTTATCCTACCGCAGCACCTTGGGAAGGCTCAATGTCACTATCATCTTTGACGCATCAATCGTTTATACCTGGAAATGTCAAATGTGATGCTCGAGTGAATGATTTATCTCAATGTGCTATCATTCAAAATAATGATTGCTCTCAATACTCGTACGTTACATGTAAGCATTCTTGTTCAATTTTTTGAATGTGTTAACGTATTGTAGAACACATTTGTATGACGTTAAAAAAAGTTTTGAGCGAAGAATTTAAGGAATAAATGTCTTACTTTTGTGTTCTCAACTTACATCTGTCTTTTGTTAAGCATCATGACTTAGCTCTATCATCAAGACTTACATCTGTCATCGTAGTGTCACTGTATTTTACGCTGACTTGGAGAATTTCACAATTAGTCTTCTACAAATATATCAAAATATAAACGATTGCTACTCTTGGATAATGAATAATTCAGACAGGGTTGCTGCGAATACTGGCGATTAAATTAATTTTATTCTTGCTAGTTCGATTCGTGCTTCAAAAAATGTCCAATTGTCATTGATCTGCACGATGATTAACGTTCACTCTTTAATGGACTTTATATCGCTACCGTATTGCTGTTATTTGACAAGATACTTACGGTTTCTTGTCATAGCTGGCTTGATTCAAACTGGAATTTAACCATAATTTTAATAAAAGCATGCATAATCAGTTGTATTCCTCAAACACTTCTTGTGCTCTCTCTCTCTCTCTTTCTCTTTCTTCAGACAACAATTTTTAATTTTTGCGATTTGTCGTGAATGGAGAAAAACATGGGATTGCATCATTGCTCTGTATCAAATCAAACCAGTTCTAATGTTGTAATGCATTTCAACCAAACCTTTTCTATTTAAGGTCATGTTTGTGATAATCCTCTATTAAAAAACGCAGAAAAATTCCCAGATTCCTTGTTTACTGCCTTCCCAAAGAGTCGTAGTGCATCTAAAGCAAGAATATCCAGTGGTAGTTCATGGTGTGCTCCTACTGCAGATGGCAATCATTATCTTCAACTGAATTTCCCGAGTCTTTATACAGTTAACGTTATTGCAATCTTTGGTGACAGTTCAAGTTCAAGCTTTGTAACTAAATATCACTTGCAGACAAACATTGATGGTGTGAACTGGAAATCTGAAAAATCCCAGAAGGTAACGGTAGAATTTTCAAATTTGTATATTATAAATTTAATGGGAAATTTAAAAAAGGAATGAAGTTATAAACTAAGTAAACTTTTAAATTGCTATTTATATACAAGCTTGTGTGCAGATGTTGATTCAGTGGTGTAGCCGGCACGCAAAATTGCTGGTTCTATGTAAATTTCAGATCATTATCATTATTCATTTCTTTAGAGATCTATAGTTTTTACAGTAAGTGAGCACTGAAAAATTTACATATAGCACGACCAAATTTGTGGGCTAGCTACGTCACTGTGTTGATTGTCTTGGTTACTCCAGCACTAGCGAAGAATCTTAAATTTGATTATAAAGTTTAAATTGTAGCTATGTGCATGATTTGAAGAGATACATAGGCAATGCATAAACTACTCTCCTCTGGACTGCGTTAAACAAACCTGGCTTTTCTCTTACCTTGCTCTGCAAATACACGAAAATCTTTTTTTTCGTTTTATTCCAGATTTATCTAGGAAACAAGAATAATTACAATGATGCGGCTATTGAAAAGTTTTCTGGTGGCCTTAAATCAAAAGCTTTGCGAATCTTCCCTTTGAAATTTGTTGGTGCACCGTGTTTACGAATTGAAATTTGTGGTGGAGGTAAGAGGTGGAAAAATTATACCATGTTTACTTTGCACTGTAAGTACTTAATTACTCAATATATACAGATTTTTTCTCTGAGAATTAATTGAACATGTGTTAGTTGACAAAACTGAACAATTTTCCATGAAGACTGAAGTGTTAGTTTCTTTCTCTGTTGAAATAAACTTTTTGAAACAAGCCTTTTCAACATGCAGTTAATTTTAACACGTGTTATTGAATAAAAAGCAGAACACTGACTTCATTTAGGGGCTACACATAGTTCAAATTGTAGATTTTTCTTTTATCGTGCAGACTTACTCCCAGACAAACCAACAGATCTCATTGCAACCAAATCTGCATCGACGTACCTCGAGATATCATGGAAACATCCCCAAAACACTGGTGTAAAACTTGGTACGAATATCTCGAATCCTCTTACAAGATATCTATTGATTATGATGAAGGATACTATGATTGTTTTCAATAAAACTTTGGAGGTAACTGACAAAAAACCGTACAACATTACGAATCTTGTTCCTTACGCAACGTATAAAGTTAATGTAACTGCTGGCAATTCTGAAGGCTTTGGTAGATCAACTACAGCTACTTTTAGAACTGCTGAAGATGGTGAGTTCATATCAGTTTTTGTGTATACATATCGGCTGTTATTGCATTGATGGTGTTATTGCCATAAACGACTTTCGAAAGCTCAAATCTTTTCTGGTCGACATTTATTTCAATCTTGTTTTTCTTATACTGTATTATATTTAAGTTAGCAATGACAGTGTACACTTGTTATGACTTCTTTCTAAAGTGTTTTTAATGTTTTACATAAGTCTTTAAAACATATGTTTATATTTTTGTTTAGTTCCCGAAGGTACACCTTTAAATGTTCAAATTTTCGTCTTAAGCAGCTCGTCGTTATCAGTTACGTGGGAGCCACCAGACAAGAAAGAAACAAATGGAAAGATAGTCAGTTACACTGTTTGTATTACACATTTGGAGAATGAAACCTGTTCAATGAAGTATATGATCGAGGAACAGCGTTTGGACATAAATAATGTGAAACCAGGGACAAAATATTATGTTCGTGTTTTAGCTTCTACAATAGTTGGATCTGGATGTTACGGCAATGCTACATGGGTATTTACAAATGGATGTAAGTTGTCTATGGTTTATGCACAGGTTTGTTTAAATGATAAATTTATTCAAGTTTATTTATTTAGTGGCACCTGAACTGTCCACCAAGCAGATTGGAAATACGTTGATATATTTGTTGCAAAATCCTAATTTGGAATACCGGTAACTATTTATTTTAATAGAGCAAATTATTGTAAAAAAACTTAAAGGAACTTAAAAGTATTTTTTGAGTTTTTCGTATCCATGGCTAAGTATACGACAGTTGGTTTCATGTGGGATCAAGGTAGTCTAAATATCTCTATGGGAAAACGTTTGATGACTCGTCGCTTTTCTCTGGCAGTGCGGATGCATGCATAACATATATTTTAACGATTAACAAAAGCAGAGGTTATGTATGTATTTTAAAAAATGTTTTGCCTTCAATTTGCAGATATTTCTATGTAGTTGCGATGAAAAATGGCACTGAAGAGAGTCGACTACCTTCTAACTTTAAAGACACAGACTTAGGGACTTATTCTAAGGCCGAATCTTCCACAAAACCAATGCCGTATATTGCTACTGTAGTCTCTCGCAAAGACTTTAAGCCTGATTTTACACTTGGTGATGGTGAAAACACAACACGGCGTTCCAATGGTGAAAATTATTATAATGGCCCGCTAAAGCCTGGCACTAGCTACAAAATATTTCAGCGCGTTTTCATAAATGATCAGGTGCGCCCATTTATTTACGTTTTCATCAGCATTGATTGCAGCAATTTTTATTCAAATATAATGTTCTCTTCGTTTCAGGGTGATTATTATTCCACTGACTGGAGTCCAGTGGCAGCAACTGCCCAAATGCACAAGTCTTCAGGTTTGTGTTTGCTTTCAATAGCATAAGGAAGTTTATCGATGTCTAAAGTGCAATGATTCAAGATCTTTGCAAATTTCAGTATAGCGAAATGCCTTTAATTTTTTAACGATGAATATAAATTTGTTTGATGATACAGCTGATTTAATTCCAACAAATAACTGCCTTATTGATTTTATGTACAACTTCTCTAATTTCACTGCGTTCTAAGCCTAATTTATACCATAAATAAATCATGAATAATTAACAGGGATGAATACATGGGGTGTGAGAGCGGTTACACCTTCAGCTTTAGAAAAATGATCGCTGAAAGACAACATTTGTTGGTAATGTTATGATTTGTCATTCATTTTTATCTTGTAGACGGTGGAAACACTGGAGCTATTGCTGGTGCAGTTGTAGCTGCCGTTTTGGTCATTATTCTTGTCATATTGGTCATTCTTTTTGTTAGGATCAATTCAAACTCTGCTACAGTGCAGTGAAAGTTCTCAAAAATGGGGGAAGTCTAATTTTTTCGCGAAGTTATTAGACGTTTTCTGAAATTTAGCGTATTATAAAAGAATATAATTAAACATAAAACCTTTATTTCCTTTTTAACAATAAGAGTGAACGAGAGTGAATGATTCTGAACAAAATTTGAAAACAATTTGGAATATAACATCAAATTTTTTGGCTAAGGATATAGTCAATATTTGAAATAGGATAATAGTTGTTATACTTTTTATCTAAGTACATTAAATAAGAAATAAAGTTAAATTACAAACAAACAGTGGCGTAGCATACTCAGTAATTTATTTAAATAAGTTGGTGGGAACGGGATTTTCATTCATTCATAATTTTGGAGTCAATGGAATACATACGAATATCTATACACTGTCATCTCATTAATTTACCTGACGTAAGAGACAGGGAGTTTTAGTGGATGGAGTTTACTTTGTTACCAACTATGTTAGTGTTAGTATAATGTTGCTGTTTTTGTCCTTTCGTGTCTTCGCTTATTATCCCCATTATAATATTCATTTTAAACTCATCCAAAGTTATCGAGTTCATTGAATTTTCTGATAATTTGATTGCTAGAGTGCTAGGAGCATTGTGTTTGGTTGTAGACTAGAGATCAACGAAAAAAAAAGAATGGGTTTGAAGCTACCAGACAAGATTTTACAAAAAAAGAAAAATGCATATGATCGCCCAACACGTCCTTCTCTCCTATAGTTTTTTGTCAACCCCTCTCCTTGTTTTTCAACACTGGCCGGAACACCCACCGAAAGACTGATCTAGGTAGTCGGTACTAAACTTCCGCAACATTAAACGCGTTTAAAATTTATATTTGCGTTCGAATTATGATTGAATTATGAGTAAAATATTAACTTTTTACAAATACAGAAATACAGAATATCATTCAGAGACTCTCGACTCCAGATATGAAAAATATAGCTAACCCTATCACGAGTTTCTCCGAATCATTAGTTTCTATCAGTTGGAACACACACCAACGTTTATGATGTATGAGCTTTCACTTCCTAAGAATATGAGCAGACGAACCCCAAGTAAAATAGTTTCTTCTCGTCATGTAATATCAAATAGTCTATTGATATCTTCAAGTAATCACGTGTTATTTATAGCTCAGTCGCTTTTTTTGTCCACCTCCTGCTCTCTTAATGTTTATTAAGTTCATCTTTGCCATTCATTTATATCCTATAAACAGTAGAAATTATGGTACTTTTACTGGTGAAGTTGTAGTTCCTGGTTCGTTTCTATTCTTGTCGTATTCGCTGTTCGTTAGGATTAATATAAACTCTTGTACTCGAACGTGCAGTAAAATGCGTGTTGAAGTTTTTTGACATCTACTGACAACATTTGATGAGAGTGAATTCTTCACTTGCAATTCAGCCATGTTGGCGGTTTGATAGAAATGAATATTTTATTAGTGTTATTGTTGGCACTAGCCGACGTAGTTCGAGCAACATTGTTTGGTAAATCTCAAGAAAATGGTTGCAAGTCAGAAATAGTTCTGGATTGAAATTTAAATTATCAAATGCTCAAGCCAAACACTCTGCGGCGACTGCTCACTTTCATGTTTTAATCTACAGGTTAGTTTAACAACCCTTTCTTTGTTCATCAAAATTATTTAAGAATGATTGTAATTTGTATAGAAGTAATAAAGAACTTACCTTTTAGAAAGGAAAATTACAACTCAACTTCATGTTACAATATGTTTACTCAGTCTGTCCTCTTGGTTATTAGCAATGGATATCAGCAATGGATATCACAATGTAAGCCTCCTGGGTATACGTAGGCACTGGATGTACGATTTGGCATTGTGGAAGAGGATTGTATTTTGGAATCATCAGAATGTTCTAACCCCTATGAGAAAACTTAAGTACTATGGTAGCTCTTACCAAGTGTCTGTTTAGTTAGCTAAAGTAGCTGATATAATAACTCCAATTTTCTACCCCACAAATCTTTCGATAATATTCCTCGTGATATAGTCGTCCATCACATGAATTTCAATCACATCGAAAAAGTATTGAATTCCTTTTCAATATTAATTGTCAGTTCTTAAATATTTCATTACATTTTTTTTCACTTTGTACTTCGTTGGCGTTAAGTTGTTCTTTTGAAATTGACAATCATTTGTCACCATGTTTTGAGACAAAGCCGAATAACAAAGACTCAGCAGACGGCAAAATATTCTCCTTGCCTATATTTGTGTGCTATTCGTATTCTTCCTTTTATTTTTGCTAATGCGGCATCGAATTAAATTAGAATTATACGTTGTTCTTTCTCCAAATTACAATTATACGAATAAATTCAAAAACCAAGAATCACAGGCAATTTGATATGTAGATCAAAACTGTGGTTTTATATTTGATGTCTTCAAGAAGTGAATCTTAGAGTTGAATTTTAGATATCAAAATTGTGAGTCGCCTTATCTGATATGATCAATGTAAAAAGTTTTAATATATTTTTGTCTGGTGATTAGTGTCCTTTAAAAAGTGATCTGATGTTGAAACTTAAGTCATTATGTGTTCCAGTCTTTGTGTAGAGTGATTTTTTGTATAATTACAATGGTTGTATAGCTGTATATAAAAATTAAAGTCAAAGTAATCCAGTTCAGTGTCTTCATTCTATACAATTCACTTTTATAAATGTGTGAAGATAGTATTATTAGCAACTGGTCTTTTGATACTTCTTTGTTATGCTTTTACACCATTTGCTCCTCATTAAAGAAAATTGAACATTCAATTACAAGGCTTCGACTTAACTGTAATAAAACAATAAAACATTCATTATCTTTATAGAAAAATCAGAAACACATGTCTACAATCAATAGCGTTTCTATAAGAGAAAAGTCAGAATCATTCGGATAAAAAGAAATTTGTATAAACATATGTAAATCTCTGCTTTTGATAATTTGTCGCAAATAAATCACTACATTTCTCTTTCATACAATGTTCATATGTATATGTTTATTCAGTAGCGTAGCCAGCCCGACTTTACTCTCGCTATGCAAATATTTTTCGCATTTATAAATACGACGAGTTTTTTTTTAAATAAATGTGTTTCAACATCTCAGGATGGCATCTTCAGTATAATAAGAATATTATGTATATGTATGATAATTTTATACAAGAGTAATATGATGCAGTGATACAATTATCAGTAGATTATAAATATTACAATGAAATGCTGGTTGGAACTAATTTATGAGTGTATTTACACGCTGGATATAGTGTTAAAATGAAAAAACGTGAATGTTGAGATTACGATTAGTTTTTTTAATGCGAAATGCTTCTTTTAAAAATACTCGTCGTATTTATTAAATGCCCAATATCAATAGTGTTTTACACAGTTGCGGCAAATATTTTTGTGTTTACTTACCATAAGAACGATAGATTTCTAAAGAATGTCTTTATGATTAAATGATTTGTTACATTTATTTATTTTTGCTTCATATTAAAAAACGTCGTATGGTCCGCGCGATTCACTAGTTATCGTGGCCGGTTCATGACGTTTCTAAAGATGTTCACAGTATGGTGGAAATTTTATCTGAAGTTGAAGGTTCACAGAGAGCTGCTGATGTAAATGGACCTGTCATTGTTATGAACAGGTAAAACACGTGTGACTCAAATATTAGCAATTGATTAACCCCGTCGCTCTCGTGGTTTTAATTCGGCGGCTTAGGGTTTGAGTGAAGATCTCTACAAGAATTTTGCAACAAACACGAAAATATTTTTTTAATCCAGTTACGGAGCACGTCACTCTGGTACCTATATTGCTATATCAAATCTTGTGGACCAAGTCAAAACTGTCTAAGCGATTAATGCATTCCAATGCATTAAGCAGATCCAGAATAGACGCCGCAGTTCGTTGAAACAGCGGTACACATGTCTTTATTACTCTCTTGAAGCCCCAACTGCACCAGCAACCAGCGTTATTTTCATAAATGGACTATGCAGCCTCTTCAAAATAGACCATATAAAATTTTACTGTTATTGACTTCATGTTTGAAAAGGTATTGTGATGTTTACCAACACTTTGACACATTTATGATTAGGTCGAGTGATTTTTTGATAAATTGATTTATCGAAGCTATTGTCATGCTTGATGACTATCATGATATTGCATTGCCTGTATGTACATTAAGCTTTATAGAAACCGGATGATTATTTTTATTTCAGGAAAACGTAGCTCAAACATAAATTTACCAAATTAATACGATATAGTAAAGTACAAAAGCTAGACTAAATCACTGATAGTTATGCATTGATCCGCTGAACAATGAAATTGCATGATTTGCTTGCGCTGTGTGCCCGCTGCATTTGTGTCATCCGGTAACTGTTATTGAATATTGAGTAACTATCATAAAACTTTAGTTACTTTGTTGTTTATGTTTAGTTCATTTTATTGATCAAAATTTAAAAATAATGTGGTGCATTTTGTTATCGTATTTATCGCGATATTATCGAATATCGTGATAATTTCCTAAAAAATAATCATGAGCTGATTTTTTGATAATCGTCCAACGCTATTTATGATCATCGTATGTTGTATGGAAGTTATCGAATTTCTACTTTAAATATCGTGCTTGTATTCGAACTTTGCTATCTGTAACGTATCATATCCTCATATTTGGTAGTGCTTTGTAATTCATCTGCATTGTTTATTTCATTAGAAATCTGTTGTTTTAATACAGTTAGTAAAGATTATTTACATAGCAAGACAAATTTGCAGGCTGTCTATGCTAATTGTGCTCGGTTGTTTTCGTTGCTGCTCGTTCGTTTTCGTCGCAGGGCTTGACATTTGGTTACCTGCAAGGGAAAATATTCCCAAATGCTTCGAAAATCTGGTCTGTAAGGACGTGTGGCTTAACCCACGTACGAGGCATTGCTGCTGCGTTCCGTTTACCGCAAACGTTCACTAGCTTCACGTGTGCATATTTCATCAAATCTTTGTTTTCAAAAATCTTTTTCAAACCTTTTAAAGTTTTTTACAAGTCTTCAAAACCTTAAAATGTTTTATAAACTTTTGTTTTTCCTTTGAAAATTTTGTTTTACTCGAATCTACGAGATAGTTACTCATCAAAAACGGCTTTCTGTCCCGCGTATTTGACCAAATAACACGTCGCTTCCTCGACAACACCATTAACTCAAAACCTTCCGTCATGAATGCTCACAACAAATCCATCTACTACTGTCCTTTTTTCTCAGGTATGCACTCTCCTCAAATACACACACAAAAAGTCGCCTTAGTGCTGCCGCTTTTCCGCATGTACTAATTAAATTTGTTTTCCACCTTTCTTAACGTATATTCTCTTTCTTCCCCTTTAAGGAAATAATTCTCAAACCTCAGAGATTGGATGTTGTGTATTCATTAAAGTGTTGTAGCTGTATGTATTGTATGTGGGTCAAATCACACGTCATTTACACATCGGATTTTCGTAGCATATGAGAATATCTCCATTTGAAGGTAACCAAA